CTGGCTAGGTGGTGTTGGTCAGAAATGCAGTGGGCCCTATGGTGTAGTGTTTTGAAGAGGGAATTCTTCTGTGCCGGATGGTGGTGGGGCTTCAGATAGGAATATGTGTGGTTGGCTTTCCTGTAGACAGTGTCCCAACGAGCCATCAGATCTCTTCTCAAACATAACATCCAGGAATGGTAGCTTACCATCCTTCTCCACTTCCATGGTGAATTTGATGTATGGGTACAGTGAGGGAAAAAAATATTTGATCCCCTGCTGATTTTGTACGTTTGCCCACTGACATAGAAATGATCCGTCTATAATTTTAATGGTAGGTTTATTTGAACAGTGAGAGACAGAATAACAACAAAATCCAGAAAAACGCATGTCAAAATGTTATAAATTGATTTGCATTTTAATGAGGGAAATACGTATTTGACCTCTCAATCAGAAAGATTTCTGGCTCCCAGGTGTCTTTTATACAGGTCACGAGCTGAGATTAGGAGCACACTCTTGAAGGGAGTGCTCCTAATCTCAGCTTGTTACCTATGCAAACATGACTCCTCGTAAAAAAGTTTAAGTTTTGTTGCCAGATAAAAGGGTAAAAATCCATTATATTTTTTACTGGCAAATGAGGTATCAATGGTGTAAATGCTTAGCCCGAGCTCTCATACTCTGATGGTGCATTGTCTTTGAGTTGTGCGCCTTTTGGCGTCATCTGGTCCAACCCATGTGAGACTAGGCTCTAAGGAAAGCTGTCTCGGGTGTGGACCAATCAACTTCAAGGACAGTGCATACATTATCAGAGTTATGTTTTTGTTTGCATTATGACTACAGGTATTGTGGTCTATGCAAACATGACTCCTCGTAAAAAAGGTGTCAGTTTTGTTGCCAGATAAAAGGGTAAAAAACCAATTATCATAAATTGTTACTGGCAAATGAGGTATATGGTGTAAGTGGGGGAAACCCATCCATTAATTGAAGGCCTGGCTCAGCTCAGATGGGTGATTGCATTTGGAGCTTGGAACATGGTCTGACAAGTGGCTGTGTAGTAATCATGGTGCTCTTTTTGAAGCATCTGTCAAATGAGCTCTGCCACATGTGGCAGGGTATTTAGATTACACACATTTCTCCCATCTCAAGCATATAAGGTATCTCTACTTACCTTAGTTTATATGATTTTCCAAAAACAGGAAATGAATGAGCAGACATTTTAGGGCCCAAAACAAACATGATCTACATTGCTTTAGCAAGCAATGGGGGTGTAACGACGACCGACACATGCTATTTGCTTTACATCGTCTTCTCTCCAACCATCTTTTCCCCTTATGCTATCCCATTTCACATCATTCGAGCTCCCTTTCTCGAAGGTTATCTCACCATATTTCCTCAGCCAATCCCTTTCCTCCCATGTCCAACGGTTGTCAACCGTTCCCCCCGTCAGTCAACCCTCGTTTCCCGCCTTTTACGTTTGTATTTCTCCTCCAATCCCTTCAATTATACTGGTTGGAACCTCCTGGTTACACCAGCCCACGGGATTATTGTGTCCGTCCGTCGTGCAGGGAGGGGCTAGGTGGGGAGGGAGGGGCTGGGTGGGAAAGGGAGGGTGGGGAGGGGCTGGGTGGGGAGGGTGGGGCTGGGTGGGGAGGGTGGGGCTGGATTGGGAGGGTGGGGCTGGGTGGGGAGGGTGGGGCTGGTCACCCCGTGGTGCCCTTATAAAACTCAACGTTTAACCTACTCACGCCGGCTTGTGCTCGCCCTCACAGTCGGCCATATTTGCAGAATACACCACGCCGCCGTTGACCCTGGCCATTGAGCGAGCAACCCAACGTTCCTACCAGCTCCCTCCGCAGGAATGTTTTTCCTCCAGCCAATCCTCTTTCAGCCCTCCCCACGCCAATCAGAGGCCTTGATTTCGCTTTTGGACTGTCCGTGTTTGCACGTGCACCACGTCAGGTAAGTGGTCTGTTGTTTTGATGTTTATAGGAGCGTGAAAGCTCCCATTGCTTTCATGTTCCCATTGAACAAGGGAGTTTGACCTTCATGATGCTTCTGGCTTTTCAGATAGGTTTCAACTGGATCTCCTCATACTACTTGTCTGATGCTATCCCTCGTTTCTTGAGGTACATCTCCATTAGCTCCGCTCATTTGTAGACGAAATGCAAATCAGACCCATCGCCACAGAAATAGAGGAGATGGGGCTCACCATGGGAACCTCATTTGCCAGTAAAAATATGATAATTGTTTTTTAACCCTTCTTTGGTTTTTTCGGTAAAGTCACGTATAAAAATAAAATAATAAATCAAACAACAGCACACGACGTTTCGATTGCAACACAAGCAATCATCATCAGGTATAATGAAATAGCGACAGAATATAACCAGAAAACTATAGACAGACATATAAGCAGACAGATATCACCAAGATACATAGAGAGAGCAACCCAGGTACAGAGAGAGGTGATCGTCTCTGTGGGGTGGCCTTAAATAGACAGAGGGGGGCGGAGGCAGAGAGAGGGAGGGGGTAGGGAAAACATTTAATGTCAATGAGTACGAAGGGAGGGGAGTAAGGTAAGCAGGCTTAGAGGGAGACAGAACACACTAAATTAAATAACCTAGCAAAGTATCGAAATGTTATGTAAAACGACACAGAGAGTCGGTCAACACACAATTAACGCATTGCCTGGTCGATTACGTATTTCAAAGATTGCTAAGTTAGAATTTAAGTGTGAAAATTCCAAAGAAAGACAAAACATAAAAAAGAGGAACGTTTTTTTACCCTTCTATCTGGCAACAAAACTGACACCTTTTAACAAGGAGTCATGTTTGCATAGACCGCAATACCTGCAGTCATAATACAAACAAAAGAACATAACTCTGATATTGTGCACTGTCCTTGAAGTTGATTGGTCCACACCCGAGACAGCTTTCCTTAGAGCCTAGTCTCACATGGGTTAGACCAGATGACGCCACCCATGTGAGACTAGGCACTAAGGAAAGCTGTCTCGGGTGTGGACCAATCAACTTCAAGGACAGTGCACATTATCAGAGTTATGTTCTTTTGTTTTTATTATGACTGCAGGTATTGCGGTCTATGCAAACATGACTCCTTGTTAAAAGGTGTCAGTTTTGTTGCCAGAGAGATGGGGCTCCTTAGCATTGCACTGTACTACCAGTCACACATCTTGTAAATTTCCAGTTCCAAAGCCACTTCGTTCATCTATGATTTGTGGCCAGGTCACTTGTGAAAAAAGAGCTATATTTCTCAGTCGGCCTTACCTGGTAACATAAGAATATATAGTTTATATCATGAGACCTCCTTTGCCAGTATTAAATTATGATAATAGGGGTTCCCCCTTTCTGGCAATTAAACAGGTGTTAAGATGTTAAAACACCAAACTGAAACCTTTGCAAGGAATCATGTCTGCATTAACCACATATACTTGTGGTGATTTATTTTATTTCATTTTATACCTACATACGTGACTTTACCGAAAGAACCAAAGAGTATGGATTCCTGCAGTCACGAAAGCTTCAAATCAAGATCGAATAAAACTATTAGAACACCGTACATTGCGGGAGTAACTGATAAACTTGGCAGATATTTGGAGAACAAAAACATCCAAGTGAGATTTGGCATGGTACACTAAATACAAAAAAATGAATATCTGGTACTAAAGCTATCAACAGAAGGTGTGTACCGGATTAATTGCTTCTGTGGCAAATGCTATGTTGGTCACACAGGACGAATGATCAGCATGAAACTAAAAGAAAATTAAAGAAAAAAAATATATTCCCAAACACAACTCTTGGCAGTGGCAAACACGCATGCTAACAAGGACTCTCAATTGACTTTGATGTTGAGGTTTTGTGCAAATCTAGTTCCTACTGACCAATAATAATGAAAGTATCTATCGGAATTGAGAGAAATGAAAATAGCTTTAACCCTTCTGATAGCTACAGCCTACTCGTTTTCTAATTTTTATCGTTAACTTTTCCACAGATTTAACCAGGGTAGCTCCTGGGATTAAACAACGAATCTCTCTAAAAAGCGACAAACGCACCACCGCTCAGCCAGATGACTATCCTGTTCACTCTTACAGAGCCACAACTGCCTTGTAACAAATATTAAAACATTTCTGGCCCATTCAACAGAACAAAAACTCAATTGAAGCATGATTGCAATTACACCACACCATTTTATTTCCAAAGTGTACATATTTTTGCATATGATCATTACAGAGTAAATACAATTCCAAATAATTTCAAGATTTGTGAATTTCAGAATAAAATTATATAATCAGACAATACATATTCTGATGCGAAGGTTGAAATTGGAAGAAAGCAGAACTTAATTAAACTTTAGTATCACCTCGTTATAACAAACCAAACCAATTACAGACCTGGAACAACGTGCACTTTATCAGCCTATTCACTCGAATAGGTTTAGTGACAATTAGAATTCGGAGCTTCAATAGGCATTGCCATGCATGTGTAAATTTGTGTTTGTGGAGGTCTCTTAGTCAACTGCCAACTTAAAACGTAACACACAGATGTACCTTTGTCCAGTATTCAATTCTAAATATTTGTCAGCACGCACGATCGAAATATGTGGGGTTGTGATAACGTAATCGCTGTTTCAGGCTTAATTAGAGAATATGTTCCTCTAGCGACGCCCGTTATACACAGGGTATCATGAGCACAAAAAGCTGCATATAACGAGGAAATGATGTGCCTATATTACAAAAAAATCACTCCAATAACAAGAATAATCAATTTAATATGTTAATAATAATATTATTATTTTCGTGCATTTAGACATTAACGTAGTCGTTTCTTAATACCATTATAAATCTGAGATACAATATCTAACGGTAACAACATGTGTGCACTTGTGAACTTTTTTCACACCGTACGTAGGCAACTGTGCTAATTGAATGTGCGGGAGAGGGACATCAAATTAAATACAAAAGCATTTCTAAGGAGATGAGTTTTCAACCTAGATTATTTTAAAGGCCATAGTTCCTAATATCAGCAGGAAGAGTGTTCTGGCTGGCCACAAAAGCGCCTCAGAAAGCGTTTATTGTCTTTGTTCGATGGTTAGCCAAAAACCAATATGAAGATGACTGGAGTTTACATGATCGTTTATGCCCTTTATTGAGGTTTATTTGTGCCAAGCACTTTGTGTATAATGAGTGTGACCCCATAACGTATTCGTTCAGCATTAGACAACTTACTCAAATTATGCAACAACAAAAAAACCACAGACCATTCTACATTTGTCAAAAATATGAGGTGAGAGAGTTCGCGTGTATTATCCTAACAATGAAAATATATATGGCAATTAATAATAACACATCTAATGCACAATGTTTATTTCAGAACGTGAAGAAAAATAGCAGACTTCACAAACCACATTTCTTGAAAAAGATATTGTATAAGTAAAAATGATCGACTACCATGGAACTCACCAGTTTAGACTTTCGTTGATGTTTAACTAGCTAATGGCCTATTTTCAAATAAATGGTATCAAATTATTGATCTATTAACCTACGAAATCACTATGGATAATAATACAACTATCATTTTAAATAGAGTCATTCATGATAAGAGCATCCCATAACGCTAATGATTCCTACATGTATTTTATCATAATCATCACTATAAGTCATGTACCTTTAATATCAGCAAACAATAAGCCTCGTTGCACTTGCTTCGACAATGTTGTGAGCAAGGTTTCGATACGAAAGCGTAAGCTGCATGTACACATCGGGAGAGTGGAACCTCATTTGCTTTTGAAAGGCAATGACAGCATGTTCTGTTCCTCACGGGAATGTGGTTTTCCTAATGGGAACTCCTTAGCATCAACACGATGTACACTGGTTTATTTCACCACATGTAGGTGAGCATGCTCCACCGGATGCTGTAGTTTTTATATAACAGTCTCATGAGCCAGGTTTACCAAATACAACGGATAATCAAATTAACAAGATAACTATAATTATTCTATCTTGATTTGAAGCTTTCGTGACTGCAGGAATCCATACTCTTTGGTTCTTTCGGTAAAGTCACGGTGGTGGAAATAAAATAAAATAAATCACGCAGTTCTCCTGCTGTGTTTGTCTCACCTGATGACGATTGCTGGAGTCTTTGCTGACAGTGGACTTTTTGCCAATGAGGAACTCTGTTTTGGCAGAATGTATTTTGAATTACTTTGAACCAATCCAGGTAAATTTTCGAGTAGAATCAGGGGGGCAATAGTAGAATACTTTAATATAGACAGCAAGGCATTAGCACTGAAGAAGATAGAGAACCAAGCAGTAGAAGTAACGATGCCCTTCATAGTAAACAACACGATCCCACCTGTGATTAGCATTGTTGGCTACATACGGTGCGAAAGAAGTTGAACATACATACATAAATACTTTGATTTGTGCAGAAAAAAATACGTTGGCTTAGTCGGTGCTAGATCCAAGCATCTTCATGCTTTTCAGTGCAGTTTTATTATGAGGAATCTCGTGCATGCTGTTTGTGTCACCATTGTAATAAATATTGAACACGGGATATGTTCGTTTAGGATATGTAATTGGAATTAGATTCTTCAACTGAGATGAATATTTCTGTTCTAAAAAAATGATTGCAGCAATGTTGCCTGAAACACAGTAAAATTTACAAAACGTCAAAACAGAAGAGGCCTGATTTTAAAATGATGCTTAGTACATTTTATAAGTTGGCATTACAAGAAAAAGCCATAGGTGTAAATGTATTGTACAGATAATTTAATGTAATCGAATATGGCATAGTATAGAATCAATTTTCAATGACATGTAAATCTTGAGTAATGCATCATGTTAGTCAGGAACGTAATTACATCAGAGAAACATTTAATATACTTTGGTGCTTGGAAATATGTAAGTCGTAATGATTATCACATAGCACCAATAAGTGTAAACGCAGAACAAAATGGACGGTGGGGTCCACTTGTAATAGGGAAAGTGGGTGATGAAAATTAGAGACACCTGCAACAAGCAAGATGTAAATCACCATTAGTGCGGCCGGCTTCCTATGAATACAGCTTTAAGAACTTGTTAAAAAGACACATGTCATAACATTGAAGAATGGTGCCCTTGGAAGGACAACTGCATTTTGTAACTCTTGATTACCCAAAGTATCATCACCTCTTTTGCGTAACTCAATAAATAATCATACATTCATATTCTTGGTTCTTTCGGTAAAGTCACGTAAATATTTACATAAATAAATATTTACGTGATTTTGCTGAAAGAACTAAGAATATTAATTCCTGCAGCCACGAAAGTTTTAAGTCAAAAATAATATGTCCATTTGCATTTAGTATTTGTCCTACATTAGGGATCAAAAGACATTGCACTCCATAGTCATTCTATTCACATGACTCCTGCTTCTGAAATTGGCCATCGGATAAGCCCTGGAAACACATTTACAGAATTTACACATCTGTAATGAGCGACTTCCGCGACACGTCGTGTAGAGGGTACTTCTTCATTATTTACTCATGCTGGCCACGACACAGGCCAACACTTATCCTTCCTTGCACAGAGTACAACTTTAGGTATTAACGTCTTTACTGGCTACACACATCTGATCACTCGGCGTGGTCCCATCGCCCTCACTCGGCTACGCCACTGGCTGGCGGTGTGACGATGATGGCGATGTAAACCCCTCAGGAGATCTTCCACGTGGCCGGACGATGGAGAGAGATGACGGTGAGCAACAACGTAGCCTGGACCCAGACCCCACTCACGAGCCCAGAGTCCCGGGTCCGCTCATCCTTATATCCCCCCAGGCGTGGCTAGGCCCCGCCTCCGGTCACGCCCTCTCGTGGAACCTTTGAGAAGGTTCCCGGAGTTTCTCGGCTAACCCCACCTTTTACCTTTGCCCCAAATACACCTCCTTCTCTGATTGGTTATTACTTAACCGTGTCCATACCCGTGATTCCCCTTTCAGGCCAGCAGGTGTCACCATGTCATTACACATCTTACAAGCGAAAGTTATTCAGGACCGGGAATAAACTATGACATTAAACATAGCTATTCTAGAGATAGGTGCGGGTGCCAGGTCAGACACGAAAACAATGGTTAGGTGTTGAATCTGACGAACACATCCATATATTACTACAAAAAGTAAAAAAAAGTGTTCATTAACATATTCGGTCACTCAATCATCGTAATAACATAAACATGTATGCATTTACGCTGAATATTGAAAAGTGCATAGGCCCAGTGACTTCCTAATCTCAAAAGGAAGAACGTTCCAGATGAACACAGAAGTGCATCAGATCAGTAATGTATTGTAGTTCATTTATGGCAAACACTTGGTGTAATGAGTGCGATCTTATAATGTATTAGTTTAGTAACCGGAAGCTAATGCAGCGCAGTGAGTACTGGACGAATATTGTCGGATTTTGTAGTGCCTGTTACGAAACGTACAGGATGAAGTCATCCCCACATTGTCATAATTCCTCATTGGATTCTTCTTCATGAGTTAATTTTTTCGCTGCATCTCCATGTTGGTTGTTCTCTTGCGCCATAGTTTGTCTATCATTTCATTATCGTGGTCATTATTCAGCCATCATACTATCTAGTCATTTGTCCTGCCTATTTTCAGTTAATATGGCATATATATGTCCCCTCTGATGAATGTGTTCCTCTGTCCATTAGTGTAAATCCCAGCGCACTTCTCTCCATACGTCATTGCAAACAATACAATTGCATTCTATTTCATTTGTCAAAATCCACATATGCGATAGGAGCTAATTCAAAATCTTCCTCTCCAATAATTGATTTGTTTAATTTCATCATGTTAACTTACTTAAAAGCACTTCCATCCACTCTGGTTAATTTCCTTATTGATTCAAAACTTAAAAGTGTGCATAGACGAATGGATGGTATACATGTGTAATGAAGCTCCTTGGAGACGTCCATCTTAGAAAAGGTGAAGTCTTTATTTTCTTAACGATTATGTATATGCAGCTCTGCTAACAGTCAGCCCAATGTCCTCCCTCTTGTCACTCCGTGAACAGTCAGCCCTGATGTCTTCCTTCTTGTAGCTCCACTAACAGTCAGCCCCGATGTCTTCCACCTTGTAGATTCTGGTCCCAGGCAAGTGTCCCGACTGGAGCTGATTTAAATACCCTTTCGGGCATGCCTTTAATTGGACAGTGCCTTCCCCCTGACTGCACCGCCTGTCTATAATGATCTAATCGTGTAAATTTCACTGTGCTCTATACAGTCCCCTACATATGTGTAATACTCGTACTGACGCGACAGCTTCTTTGTCTTTCTCGGTTCTTTATTGACTCATATAGTTCACATCTCCTCTGTCGGCATCACTCAATGTCCCTCCGTACACTTCAACTCACAACTCCCCATCAACATCACTCAATGTCCCTCCGCTCACTCGCTCCGCTGGCTTCGCTTGCTCTCCTTCTGCTCCTCTCCTCCAGCGACCCTCCTCTCTGCACTCTCTCTCCAGCTCGGTCGCTCTTTGTTCTCTCTGCCCTCCCACTCCGTCGTAGCTCTCTCCACCAAGGTCCGTTACTCCGCTGCTATCCTACGCTGTACTCGCTCCGTCCACTGCTACTCTATCTGTATTCTCTTTCTCCACTGCTACCTTATACTATATTCTCTTTGTCCACTGCTACCTTATACTATACTCTCTTTATCCGCTGCTCCGTCTCTCCATCCGTTCGTCACTCATCCCAGGCACCAACTCCCATTTCGCTCCACGCTCTCCGCCTTTATCCCTGAACTAATTCCCCTTAATTAATTGGACCATCCCCCGCTTTGCTACTCGCCCCCAGCCCCCAGTGCGACGTGGCGTTGTTGTTGTAGACACAGCGGTGCCAATTTCAGACACCCATACCTCTCGTCCAATCACCGGCCTGCATCCTCAATTACCCCCGGCCACCTGCAGGCCCCCTTAACTACCATGCCACCTTAATTGGTACAACAACAACAGTAAGTCGCTCAGCGCCCTGTGTCCCCGTTTGCCCTCACTGTCTGCCATGTGCACGCCTCTCAACCCAACGCGTGACGCGTGTTTCTAAAGTCCTACATATGGATGCACACTGGTATAAATTAAAATAAATACAACAATCGGCAATATGAGATGTCAAGTTAAACTCTCAAAAAAGTGGGTATAGGCAGCACACATCGCTGGAAAGGTTGGCCAAAGGACGAGGGTGGTGACAGAATGGCAGCTAAATGATGAAACAACGGCCACCATGGAGACCAAGCAATGAGATCAACACACGTACAGCTATGAGTTGGATTGTGGCATCAAACGCCTATGGCAGGTGGCAACAGCACCCCTTTATCCAGCAGACGATGGCTGAAGATGACTGTTAGCTGAACCTTTTCAGAATTTATCAAGTCTTTCAGTGACCAGGACAGATCGCCAGGCATGTCGAAGCTGGATTTGCTACTGATACGTCTGACATAATGTGAAGAGGCTTTGGAGATCACCATATGTCGCAAACCAGTTGTGTTGTGGGTTAGCGTTGAGGATTACGGGACGATGTGCCGATTTTGAGGGCTGTATGGGGAGTTTATTAGAAGGGGAGAGCGTCTCGGTTGACTGGGTAGACAATCGTATCTGGGACAAAGTATTTAAGTGTCAGTGCAACAGAGGCTGCCACTTAATGTGGACTTTAGTGGCTGCTGTATCCAAATGGAACTTGTGGACAGAGAGTCTGAGTGTCTATGAGTCTTGGAGGTTTGGGGTACTGTTGTAGCGGTACTGACGACGGTATGTTCAGAGCCTCTTTATTGAAGCCACAGTCTATAATAGCCCCGGACTTGGATCTTCATTATGTAACTCGTCCCTTCCCTTGAACGTTTCCAATCCTTGTCCTGTCCTCTTTTATGCTCATTGAGCACCCTGTTTTTCTCTTAGCCAATCCATATTCTTCTTCTTTAATGGATACCCTGTTTTAGTTCAAACCTTTTTTCCTCCAATCTCTTTAAAGCCTGTCTACCGACCAATCCCTGTGGAGGCCTCTTTCAGTCAATCGGAGACCTTGATTTATTTTCGAAATAGCCGTTAAGCTGCACATTGGCTTGTTGTCATTTTCGGTCATTATGTAGAGGTGTTACGTACCGGGGTGTAGCAAGCCATTACGTTGCGGTGTCTACATCACGGTCCGTGCGTGGAGTGTCTACATCAACGTCCGCATACAGCCCCGCCCCTCGGGGGGCAGTTGGGTATATAAGGCGGTGCGCGAGAGAACTCGAGGCAGTCGTTGGAGCAGAAGAACCAGTGAAGACTGATGACCAGCTAGCTAGCCCTGGGACTACCCTGACTCGCTGCTCTTGTAAGAGCCGAGCAGGGCAAGCCAGGGGCGACCTCAGAGCAGCGAGGTCTGTGTCCTTGTGAGGGCCAGGCTCGTGTGGCTGAGGGTCGGACCTGAGCCTAAGCTGGGCCAGGTGAGTTAGCCTCTATAGGATGGTCTGGGTTAGAGGAGTGTAGGAGCTAACGGGGAAACGTTAGCCGAGGGACACTGCCTCGGATAGACCGGGTGAAGGGGCCGTTACCCCTTCCAGTGTTAGGGTGCGCTACGTACTATATAGTACCCATTTGTTAATAAATACGTGTTGCCTCCGTCAAACGTATCCTGCGCTACTTACGCCGTTACAATTACACTATGAACAAAGGGAAGGGCGGAGCTGACAAGGCGGATTCTGCCTGTCCACATGACGAGCTGCCCTTAATTACTCAAACCAGCTCAGTAATTGTTTTTTTTATCTGGCAGCACCAGATCTCCATACAAAGTGACAGGTACTTTGTGAACTTCCACAAGTTCTAAGGTACCTATTTTATATATAATGCCATTGAAACCTACAATTATGAAATTTGGATAACATATGTACATTATGAATTGTGAATCCTATTTGTTTCATCTGACTATGGTCGTGTAATTTCATGGTTTTATAATCAGAAGTTCAATGAGCTGCAAAATAGTTGTCAAACAGATTGGCCTTATGTTTGGCTTAGATAATTATAGACACAGATCCAAGTTACCAGAATGCATGAGAGGCATTTGTGGCATAGCAAGTTAAGCTGTTAATTCCTTGATAATATGTTTTAATTTGTGCATTATATTTTTGGATTTGAATGAGATGAGAGAGACTGACAGTGACCACATTTCCTACATTTTCTGTATTTGGAAGAGACTGCTGCTCGGCAGTTAAAGTTACACCACGTTCGTTGGTTTTACAAAAATTTGCCGAAATTATGGTTAAAGCTTAACATGGCCACTAGTATGTCAGTAAAAGCCATGGCAAATGTCGATATGTCCTTTGTTGCAAGCAAGTTGTGCACCAAGGCAAGTAAGAATACAAGTCATGGAGGATTTTACCTTGATATTGTTTTTTCCCAGGGTGATGAGATGCTCTGCTGCTATTAGACAGCTTTCAGATGTGCCAATTGCTGCAGTAACATCACAGTTTATGGAGTTTGGTCAAGGTCAGGAAAATATCTTGGGTATTCGGCCAATTTGATTTAGCATCTAGCATCTTATAGACGCAGTAAATGAATTGTGCAAGGTTGCTTTCAATTGAGAGAAACATCAGCTTCTCGACCAGTTTTATTGTAGTGTGGCTTTCTTGTAGCCATGGACATTAATTGACATTAAAGTCGCCAAGGGAAATATAATGTAGGACAGTGGAGGTAAGGGTTGGTGGATTAAACAAATGTAAGCAACTCTTCCTATGGGCGTCGAGGTTGCCATACCCTTGGCTTGCAAAGGGATACCACTCATTGTAGCATCAGGATCAGCTTTTGTGATGTCACCCCCAGGAAAACGAGCCACTACTCAGGGTGTTGTGCAATACGGTGGAGAGACAGCATCAGGACAAGCGATAGCAAAAGCAGGAATCATGAACTGGTAGTGTAGCAACAACCAGTGGAAAAGGGCACTGTCTAGCCTGGGGAGAGATTAAATCGAGAAAAAATGGTCATGAACCGTGACATATAGCAAACAGACAAACAGGTGAGGGTGGAACCTATGAATACCATGGAGGTTGGCACTTTGAAGGGATTGGGTTCTCAAATTGAGGCGTACTTTACAGATTGGTAGGCCCGCAACCCAATCGTAAATTTGTGTCTGTCTATATTGTCTCCCCGATCAGTCCGTGAAATGAAGTCGTTGAGACAGGCACAGAGCTGCGTGAGCCAGCGCTGTGATATTGCTTGTGCAAGGCAGTCTCCCTCTTGTTCTGCCCGCCTAATCCCAAAGATTGGCTCATTACGGCAAACAACAGCGCATAGGGAGAGTCATGCAGGCAAAGAAACCCAAAGAACAAGTCTAGGGAAATAGTAACTGTTGGAATTAACTTTGGCTCACTCGAGACAAATAAGTGGTTTCTCTGTGTGTCTCAGAGTCAGGTCAGCAGATTGAGGGATAAAATGCGCCGGGCACAGGCCAAGCATACAGTGTAGAGTCCCACTAGCGTGGGTGATCAGTGTGACCTGAGATTCCTTGGACGATCAGATGTCAGTGGCGGTTGCGTGCATATCTTATGCTATTTTTATAAATATATATAGTGCCTTGACCTAGGTGGTGAACAGATGGTTGGACATTAATATAAAGATGCGTGAAATAAACGATTATGAAAGTGCCAATAAGTGGTGAATGATGAATGAGTATGGAAGTTGTGAAAGGAGATGGTGTTAATGATTGGTGAGCAAGGAAAAAAAGTTGAGATTTAAGGGAAGAATAAAAAATAGATAGTGAGGCTGATTGCTTGACTGTAGGTGCAGTTAGTTCCGGTGTAAGGGGACAGTAGCGATAAAGAACAAAATTGTGATTGGGCACAAGGAGGAATGGAAACAGACGGAGATAGCTCGGATTGTGAACGTAGAGGGCATGAAAGAGCATAGATCGAATTAAGGGAAGCAACGTATGTTGGTGCTAGCCCATGTAAAACATTGTGTAAACTAGGGTGAGTAATTTCAAAAGACAACGATAGTAGATGGGAAGCCAGTGTAGCTGGATGAGTAGAGACGATGTGTGGGAGTGGTAGGGGAAGATTTAAGATGATCCAGGCAGCAGCATTTTCGATTTGTTAGAGTGGTTTAAATACAAAGGAGGGAAGACCAAGCATGAGCGTGTTGAAGTAGTCGAGTCGAGTGAAGATGAGTGAGTGAAATATAAGTTTTGCGGTCGTAATAAAGATGACAGGATGAACTTTGCGAATGTTGTACATTTAAAAGTGGCAGGAACAGTTAGTGGCAGATATGTGGTCGGATAGAGAGGGAGATGAGTGAAAAATGATGCCCATATTATGGGCAGACGATACAGAATTAATATAGAAAGCGAGAAAGCAGATAATAGAGCAGACAGGAGGGGAATGGGAAGCAGGGAGGAAAATAATTGCCTATTCAATGTAGTTACATTTTTGATACATTATTGGGGTTACTATTTCATAACATTACCTTCAATCTCAGTGTGTGTTGAAAATACGTGCGACACAATGAACAATTTTGATTGATGTATTTGCAACAAAATCGTACAGGGTTTCTACGGTGCAATAATATGAAACTTAAACTTTCCTTAAGTCTTACTTAAAAGTGTTATTGGCAGAGCAATTAACTTATAATTAAACCTGAAAGGTACATTTTCAAATGTCATTGTCTGCAATGGTCCAACTTGGCAATGTCTGAAGTAAATTATTGATTACACATTTTTTCTTAACTTATATATGGAGACAAATTGTATGGATATAAATGAATACATAACACTATGAGTGTCATAATTGAATATACAAGCATGAACCCCATTCAAAAACAGGTGAGAGTTCACCTTCTATATTTTTTCTTATTGTTAAAAGTTCTGGTAAAATAAAAAGACAACCAAATCACTCAAACAACATACATCACGTTGCACGAATGATACAATTATTTTGATCGATTATCAAGCTTGAATACCTATCATTCAATGAGCCTAAAATAACTTGCACTTAGATTTACCTTAACAAACACGTGCATACTCATGGTGTGAACTGTATGGTGTTGTGTGATATTTTAACAAAGTGTAAATAATGAGTTTTCTTACCGAATCTCTCCTCAGCTCTTTTAATTTCATCTTCATAACGGCTTGTTGGGTAGACAAACACCAGTTTTTGGTCACTTCCTTCTATGATTTTGATGTTGCATCTATTGTCCAGAATTGTTTTGAATTCTCCGTGAAAAGTTCCAGAGCCTTGGATCTTTTCTGAAAAGTCTATTATTAAAAGATACAACTCTAATTACTGCCTTTCAACTATTTAAAAATAAGCAAATCATACAATGTAATAACACATCAGTTCTCAAAATACATGCATCATTATATTACACAGCCAATTCAATCCAAATTTGCTGATAAAATTGTGCTTATTTCCATTAACGATCAATATAATCTCGATCAATACCATCATCCACGTAGCCAATCATTAGCATGATTGTCTACATACAGTGCGAAAGCATTGAAGATCAGATTACAAAAAATATGACTATATCATTTGATAATCAATACATTTTACACGTACAAGTAAAAGTGAAGCTGGAGAATAAGCGAGCGAGAGGACCTGCTACTTTATTTTAAACAGAAAATCCAAGATACCCGAGTTGCAACTAATTTCAGGTGAGCATCAGTGGCAGATGTGCAGTCATTGTTAACCTCAGAGAAGGAGAGTCAGAGCCAGGAGCAGATCAGTTGAGGCAGCTGCAGACATTCTAATCCCATAAGGTAAGGAAGAGGGCTCAGTAAATTCGTGCTCAAAACAAATAAGCCGTAGATAGGGCGATATAGGTTAAGCAGACATTTCTTGGTAAGGACAATAGGTTTGGGAAGGAAACGATGCAGGCTAAGTCGAAGAAGCACAGGGGAAAAAAAGCGAGGCAACTAAGACAGTACAGGACTACTTAAAGGTGGAACCTTCAAAATTCTGTGGAATAAAATAATTCAATAAAACACCAGGAGGGAGAATTGTGCTGTTATCCAAAATCAAGAGGTAATACAATAAGGAAACAATTGAAGAGTGTAAAGAAGATTAAATCAGGAAAGGCAGCAGGAAAGAGGTATTACTGTTGACATGGTAAAGGAAGGAGTTCATAGCATGTTCGAGGAGTTGGAAAAGGTAATCAAGCCACTCATAATCGACGACAGATGCTACATGTCTGGAAGAAGGCAATGATCACACCGTTACATACGAACGGGACTAAAAGGGACCTCGTCAATTCTAGGGGGGGCGGGGCGATTATCTTGAGAATTCCAGGTAAGGTATTTGCCGAAATATTGCTGAACATGATGAAGAATCAAATAGAAAACCAGTGTGAAACTAGATCAGGGAGGGGCTGTGGTGATGAATTATGTTGGCTAAGACAGCTTACGGAGAAGAGCTGGAAGAATGGGGAGGATATTTGGTTTGCTTTGTAGAATTTGGATGCTTTAAACATGTGAATAGGTGAGACATCGGGATTATTTGATGTTGGGGCAAGTGATTGTCAAGAGTATATTATATCTCCCACGTTGTTTAATGGTGAGCTTGTTTCAGTAGTTGGTGTTCAATTATCTCATGATTATCTTCATAGTTATCTGCATGAACAATCTTTCATTCTTTAAGTTAACTTTACTGCATTACCCCTTTTGAATAGATGAATGATTGTGGTATTCAGTTACTGCATGCACATTATTATTTGGTTCTTTCGGTTAAGTCACGTCTAAAGATAAAATAATAAATTAAATAATTATTTAATTTAATTTATTATTTTATCTTTAGACGTGACTTAACCGAAAGAACCAAATAATAATTCCTGCAGTCACGAAAGTTCTAAAATTAAGATTGCATGCACATTTTCAGCAAAAGTAATACATTAATGTTGTTCTAGAAGTCGGTCGTGCATATTTGATGATTTTCACATTAATAACACATTCTCTAAGAGATTGCCTGTTTTCACACTATGAATTGCAGAGTTTACCTAATTTAATGTAACATCCAGAACCTGCCTCCTTATCTGACAGTTGGTATAATTTGTTAATTGTATATATTTTCATCATATTCCCCTATTTGTTTAACATTGTGTCTCTCATTGTATATGGTTTCATCTTTCTCCCTAAGGGTAAACAATTTGTCGATTGCCAATCATCAACTTCCGTTTAGCTGCTTTCATTGCTTCTTATGGCGTTTTCAATAATTAATCAGTGTACCCTTGAATATCGCTGGGGTTACATTCTTGGAAAAAGTAGCGAAAGTCAAACCGCAATATTCAATATTCAAGCCTTACCTAAACAATGGGGGTTGGTACACGACAACAAAAAATAGACATTAAAATGTAATTAAGTACTGTACTGTATGCCAAATAAACTAAAAACAAAATATTTGAAATAAATATGTAAAAATAAGAATAGGTTTAAGCCTTTCTGGCCATAAAACAGGTGGTGTTCAGACCTATTCTTATTTGTCATAATTTGATATTGGAAAAAAGGTCCCATTTTGTAGCTGCTCACTCCGAGCTATAAATGGTCTGAGAGTGGCAATGTCCTTGTACTGTTCGCCTTTTGGCGTTCTCAGGTTTAACACTGGTTGAAACTAGGCCGTAAAGAAGGCTGCTGTCTCTGGTGTAGACTAGTTCAAGTTCATTTAATTTCAAGTTCATTTATTAGGTATAGCCCTGTGAGCCATTCGGCTCTTGAATCGGGTGCAACCGCAACAAACAAAAAACAAAAACATGAACAAAAAACATCTTAAAGTGAATATGTGACTGAGGGCAAACAGAAAATCCAAGAAAAGACAGCAAAATATTTCAGAAAAAACACCGTACACCAACGCTGTGTGCAAAAATCCCAGTGGGATGCAAGTCAAACAACCAACAACAACCACAAGACAACTTAGATTAAGGCCATCAGTCTAACTCTGTACTACAACAAACAAACATGGCTAAACCAATACACTTTTCGAAATCACCAAAATAAAGCCATGAAAGCAATGAAACAGTGATCATAGGAACTGTGACGGAATTTTCACAATAAATGACATTAACAACATGTACCACCAAACCCTGCAGCCATAGCTGGCTGCATGAGTCACTCCACAACAGCAGGAGCATCAATTGGAGTATTATAATGTTTCAATGCACCTTTAAGATCAGCACACTAACTCAAAACACAGGTCATACTTTGTAGCGATCATCCGGAGCGAAACATTTTATTTTAGGCCACTGAATAGCACTGGCAGCTAGGGGTGTACAACTCCTCTAGAGCAGTTTTGAGTGAAGATCTCATAGGTAGTGACTCAAGGTTCAATTTATTGGCAACAGCATTCCAGACCCTGGGGGCATCAATAGCAAAGGCCCTTCCTCCAGTATATGTACGGCAATAGGGAATATGAAGCTGGTAAATGAGTGTAGACCTTAGGTCAAATTTATTCTTTGAAACAGAGAGGAGATCCAGCAGGTAATCTGCGGATTTTTTTGTAAGTACATCATAAATAAATAAGATCTGGTGCACAAGCCGTCGAACATTCAGAGATGTTAAGTTTGACCCAATGTAGAGATCACAGTGGTGAGTCCTATATGGGCAGTTCAATGCAAATCTTAAGGCCGAGTGATACATTGAGTCAAGCTACTCGGTTCAATGACGATGCATAAATTATCAGAGAATGTTTATTCTCATGTTCATTACAAGTTTATTTGGTGTTTGAACATCTTAACACCTGTTATATTACCAAAAAGGATACACCTATTTTTATTTTTTTCATACGTAAACTATCAATACAAAAAACATTCCTAGATAATAAATAGTAGTATAATTAATTAATAAATACTGCACTTACCGATAACGATGATCCAAAGTGTGTTTGTGCGCGAGTGGGGAGAGGTAGGGCTACGGTTAACGCCCTGTGCTACGAACCCGGTGACTCGAGTTCGATTGCCTCTCAAGCCTAACACTGGTGACGATTATCTCAACCGGTCCTCGACCTCCCCGTGGTTGACTCAGCCTCAAATGAGTACCTGGTGCGGTGTGTAGTAAAAATTGCCACTGAGGGAGGCAAAAGCGGCCGGGCGTGGTGTTGGCCACCCACCCCCTCGTGTGCTATGCCGGCCTTCATATGTGTTTGCATCTGTTAAGGCTATATGGGTGGGGGTTGTTTGTCCGTGAGATGCTTGCACACCAAAGGTTGAGGTGCCACCACCTACCTCGCGTCCCGAACCGCTCTGTCCCGAGCCACGGTATCAGCCAATGATATGGTACTTCCGGGTAAAATATAACCCGCGAAAGCTTAAACTAACCCCCACGATTGCTACATTGGCATACAAACAGTTTCCCTGTGAGAGGTCGAAGGCGTGAACAATAAAAATGCGATATATTCAAGGGTCTCCAGTATTCACCGCAAACGTATATGATGTATGTGTAAACATATAGCAAAACAACCACACGAAGATTCAATGAAAATCGTACCAATACACATGTTATAATACATGGTGAAACTGTCATGAAGGGTTTTCACTGTGAGATTATAATATATTTCACGTGCATAAATATGAATGGTGTAAATATTAACCATGTAAAATTTGTGATAAAATAGTCATGATGACATCCAGTGGGATAATGAGAATAATGTTACAAATAAGAATGCAAAGTTTGGATCTGGCTAAACGTGAACAAAATACATATTCAAGAAGTTCGCGAACAGACATGTCGGAGGGACACAACTAAGAAACAGGAGAATATTTGTACCTTGGGAACCTGTTGAAGGAGATGATGTTAATAAATGAACATTAAACAATTCAAATGTGTGCCCCTAGCCATTACTTACATGTGTAATTGTTATTTCCAAGTCCTGAGAATAAACAAACATGAACACATTAAATTTGTAAGATATGTCATTACTTAATAAACTAAACATAACTATACCGTTTAAATAATATATAAATCAGCTGTACATTTTCCCATGTTAAATACTAGATTGTTAAAATTGATGGTCAGAATGCTTTGCCCATTGTCAGTAGTTCTTATGAGGTTGCACGGTTGATGGCCATGCCATGTGACCTCCCAGGACCTTGCTCTGGGGTCACACGTGGACACGCTCCTCCGTGTATGAGGCTTTAAGGCAACTTGCGTTGGACCATGAATCTGTCAAGAGTGGGGCCTCAGGGGCAGACCCCCGAATATAATACAATTAACATTTATAATGCATCTAATGTAACTTCATTTCAAAATGCTGCACGTAAGAATTGGGACATTGGCATCTTGGGGAATAAAGGATTTAGAGGTAAACGCAAACATGGACAGAGGACATGAGGTCGGAATTAGAGGCAGGGCAGATGAGGTGCCAGAACGACCGTACATAATTTTTTAAGGAAATCAATTAACATGGACTTCAATGGACTTCTCTTTCAGTGTGCTACTTTTATATTTTAATTATGTCATACCCTTTCAAAGGAGTCAATTATTACAACGACTCGAAACTATTAAAAGTTACCAGGATAAAATCACGAAGAAATGTAAATGACCCATCTAATAATGCGTTTGCAAGTTGGTGATGTAAGCAAGATGAAGCAGCCTCACTCAATTTCCGAGTTAATTCCCTGACAAAACTCAAAGCAGTTTGAGCGAAACGTCATACATCGATGAATTCGGTCATAAACAGACTGAAAACACCGACATTTGATACGGACATTTCTAAGTATAAATAAATACATTTGTAAACGTGGGTTTTGCGAGTTGAGATGATTTAGAAATTCGTTAAGTGTATCTTTGCCGTGTGGCCAGACCACCACCAGTGTCATCCATATATCTAAATCAAGCTTGAAGCTTGAAGCATACTAAAATAATTTATAAATCATCTCAACTCGCAAAACACATCCATCCATACTCTTTGGTTATTTCGGTAAAGTCACGTAGGTAGAAAAAAAATCTAAAATAAAATCAAAATAAATCACGAGGGAGGCTAAATAGGTGTCGCATTATCAAATACAGAATATATATTAGTATATTTATTTAAACCCAGAAATGTGTGCCGAATGGTCACGACTCACCCAAAAATGCAGTAACATGTGCATTCAGACGTGATAAGTAAGAGTCACTTTTTGCGGAAATTCTGTGGAGAATACACGAGCATGACAAGTTAGAAGTTGTAGATCAGCCGGAACACAGGGCAAGGGTTACTCCTGGATAGCAGCGCCTCTGCACTGCCCTAGGATATATGCTGAGGAATCTCAAAAACCGATACATATTCACAGGCCCTCCTTTATACCCTGATAACAAACACACATATATATAATGTGCAATGACCGTTGAATAAGTACAATCATCATTGTTTAAGGCACTTTAACATATAGGACATCGCGACCAATATTTTTACTCATAATTTATTTTTGCGTCAGATTGTGTTACAAAATATGTGTCATAAACCATCCCCACCTGACACCCAATTAATAGAGTTGCGATATGAACAATCTTACTAATGTATTATTGATTTTTCACACAACTGCGTGGAAGATAATTTATCAATGGTGACATCATGGCCGAGTGAGTAACGCTGAATGAACTGTTCAACTTGTCGACATGACCCTTTGTTTTCCCTTCAGAGTGATAATTTACATAGTGAGAAGTTTATTTACTTATCCCCTAGGTCCTAGAAAACTGCAAAGAGCTTGAAAAAACCGGGTTGCTTGCAACCGGAGCTCTAAACGGTACTTGGCGTGCTCCCAAGGATTCGGGCCTAAACCTGCGACTCTAGCTTGCCTCAAGGCTTGGTTCGAGAAACCCCAAATCCTGCTTACCCACTAGTAATGGATAGACAGGTTTCGTGGGAAGAAAGCTAAGTCTTCGACTCCACTGACCTCCCCAGTTAAGGTTTGACTGGGAGACCCGATGGGAGGAAATTGGGAAGTTATACACGCCTCTCTGGAGAAGGTGGAGTAGAATACCACTCTCCTCTGAGTTTTGAATGAGAAGCTAAATTAGGTTGTTGGGAGTGTTGAGAAGCAAGAGGCTGCAATCACAACGCTCCAGTCCACACTTGAGGAACAGATGGATACAACGAACACCCATGAAGCCAGACTGCTGGAGCTCGAGAAGTCGTACAACAAGCTGGATGCAAAAGAGCGGGAGAATCACCTAATGGTATATGTCATCCCAAAGGGGGTGGAAAGTAACTCTTCTCAGGACGTTCTCGCGTACATCCACAGACAATTGGCAGGTACCCGAGTGGGTCCAGACTTCATGAGCACTCCACTGGTCAAACCAGAGGAGACTTGGCCCCATTCTAATTCTGTTCACAATGTGCTAGAGTGCTTCGTAGGCTCTGAAGGCAGCAACAGTAACGAAAGGCACCTGAAGGTACGGGAGATCCTAAAGGGCCCGAAGGGAGAAGGAGGTCTGCCCTGAGTTGATGACCTCTTTGACCTTGGTCGGAGGGATCAGCCGGGGCCCACGGTGGCAGTGTACAGGCATCCCCAGCCCCACAGCCAGTGAAATGCAGAGGGTAGTATCATGCAGCCATCAACCCTCTCTCATTCATCACTCCCCTTCCTCTCCACTTTCCTCGACAACGATCCCTCCTTCCATGTCTGAACGGATGGATGGGGGCAACGTTGCTCGCTCCCTTGATTCCCCTGCTCTATTTTCTCCCCCCCTCCACACATTAACATTGTAGTGATGGGCTTGATTCTATTGATCCCAAATTGGCCCCAGATAAGACATTGATTGACCACAATGATCCTCCTATGAGGAAATAATTGTGCCAATAAATGCCCTTTGTGTCCACAATAACAAATATTCCCACGATGCAATGTACCACCAATATTTAATAATTTTGCTTTTAACAAAACGGATTTTATTTCCTGATACTCATTGATCATTTAAGGAGTATCTTGTTACTCAAATTCTACTGTCAGATAACTATTAATATGCAAATTTTAAAACTGATAATAAAAAAACATGCAAACATACCCCTATCCCCTCCCTTTGATGCTGCTAATCCTGCATAATGCATGGGCATAATATGACTTTGAAACCCCCCGCCCACTTCCTACGCATTTCACAAGTAGTACTAATCCCATATCTGCATTTCCCATAAATATGCTAAATTCCTTTTGATATGCAAATTATTTTGTCAAGGCGCTCTTCTCCCTCCAACCCAGCTTAAATATACGCTCCAAGCCTGGGGTGTTTCATTCAGACGCTGTCTTCCCGACAGACCTGTTCTTCACCTGAGGACGGCTGCTTGCGTTGTGGCCGAAACGTCGTGAGAATTATTTTATTATGTTTTATTTTTATTATTTTATTATTTCCCTTCTACGTGACTTTATCGAAATAACCGAGAAGAAAAAAACATATTATCTTCAGGTCTTGTGTTATAAAGTGCAGTCTCCTACTCTAATTATAGACTCTCTGCCCTCTCTATAATATTCTTGCGTATGGAAATATGTTCAGAAGCTAAACGTCAATGTCGGACTTCAGGAGAGACTTCGTGTAGTTCTGCTCTTCCTTCTCGATGGAAGGAGGGTCGACTGCAGTGGTTTACTTTAGGGGTATGTTCCATAATGTGGGCTTTATGGTCACAACTTCACCGTGCCTTGGTATTCTTTTTCAATTCATGAAGGAGATGTGCACATCAGCATGTCGATGTTATGATGCAGTTGATGGCTACACCAGTGTCTTCGACGAGGATGAATGTCAAAGCCAGGAGATGCAATATTTCAGACGTCTACGTTGTTTCATTATGTTCTCCATGAGGGAGAACATAATGAAACATGCTACTATGAGGTAAAGCCTCGTAGTATCATGCTCCAGGTTCAGCAGCAGGGTCTCCAACTTATTTCTATATTGAGTAGCAATTACCATAGCATAGATAACATGATAGTCCAAAAGAAAGTTATATATTGACCATACCTGGGAATCAATCAGCCCCCCATTGTTTCTATGCCAGATTGAAATTCCTCCAGCTATGAACACTGTACAAAAAATTATCTACTTTTAAGAATGAGGCTTATTGCAGCCCACCATCAAGATTCAGATAGCCAAAGTGGCAATGCAAGAATGAGTGGTGGTCATTGGTGGCCGGAGATACATTCGCTATAACTTGACTCTAGGCCACATATATCCCTTCCCACCCTTCCACCGCATTCCCTATGGTCCATTAAAACCGCACCCAGACCACAAGATAATGCTGGTGGCCCCGGGTTGGCCGAGGCACCTCTGGTTCCCTGACCTGCTCGATCTGCTGGTCGCCAAACCGTTGCCTTTGCCACGGTGCAGTGACTTGCTCGACACAGTCGTCTTGCTGCCAAACAAGCTGCGTCTTTCAGCCTCAGAGAGCGGTGCTGCTTCAGCCGTCAGGGTCTAATGCCCTGAGTGCTAGTGGTCCACTTCGCAGCTTAATTTTTCTCTATGCAGCATGTCCAAAACTGCCATTGGAGGGCTTTCACGACGTATTTACAGCCATATTACATCAATACAGCCACCAATGGCTGATGTGCTAAATTTTCTAATTGAGTACTCTCAGTAGGACGTACATCATCCTTGATGAAAATTGGTTGAGCTGCCAGTGCCACCTTCCATTGCAGTATTGATGGTACACCTCTAATAGTCCAGCAATTGGCGTGGAGGTTCATGCCTTGTGCTAATCCCCCTTTGAACCACTCGTTATTGCCTTCTTAAAATGAAAACCGATTGTGCTAGTAGCCCATCACCTCTGCAATGCATGTGAGTGAGCTCCAGGCCTCAGGGTGTGATGACTCCTTTCTGCTTTTCCACCCAAATACAGTGATCCTTTACCCCCTGTCTCCTTCATTCTGAAGTTTATGCCTGCAGATAATCCAGATCTTAATAGTACACTGTCTTTCCTATGTACAGACCCATTGGACCCCGGATAGAAGAATATCAATTTATTAGATGTTGCTCGGACTCATATGGCCTATAAAGAGGGAATCTTGTCTTTCTGACTCTTTGTCAGTTGTTCATTCCGTACTACAAGAGACGATGGGGCCAGCCCACCATGAAAGGCTAGATTGTTGGCCAGGCTTTGTGCGTGCATTATACATTGTCACCTTCTTTTAAGCCACATTCCACTTGTAAAATTTCCTCTTCAGATAACGTCGCCATAACTGAAGTGTAAAGTGGTGACCTAGCTTCACTTCATGCTATTGTCAAATACTATTTGCTGGATAAGTTGGTTAAGCAGTTCTGTCGACTTCGGTGGCTTGTGATACTGATTACTTATACACGATACATGCGCACTCACTTTCCGTGATGAGTTACCACGGTGTGGTTTTGAAACTTTCAGTGACATGTAACTTAAAGATATGACCAATCTGGCACATGCACGTCCCTGCATTGTTCCTAATGTATGACCTCTTAGCTCGTTCTGCTCAAGGACACAAACGTGTTAATTCATGGCAAACCCATCTGGCTGTCTTTATCCTCCTGCTCATTGCAGATGGGGTTTTTTTCATTGATTAATTCATTTTAGGGGGTTCCTAATAATGTATTTTGCCCCGGATTTTTCCCAGGGGATTTTACTTCGAGGAATATTTTACCATGAGTCTCCCTTTTGTATCAGATGCTCCTGGCCATATTCTCCTGGAATGCCAGTAGCATACATCAATCCTCATTTTGTTTGGGTTAAATTGTGTATACTTTACCACCTTATTGGGGAGCTTACTTGTGTGCTGAGAGCACCCACTTTGCGAAATATTACGTCCCTTTTTAGGGATCTCCAAAAATGAGGTTATATTAGTAGGGGTGCTGCCAGCATACCACACCCACCCAACCACCCCACAGAGGCCACCCAGTTCCGGCTCAGAAAAATCTGAGCTGTGCCATGCAATTGCACTTTTATAGGCAACACGAGATGATATCATAAATAATTTAGGGATGATTTGTGCTGGAGGTGTGCCAATGACCCGGGAGGTCCAGCAACTGCTGAAGGAGAGGAATATCGCCTTCAACTCCGGAGACAAAGCTCTCTACAGTACAGCCCGAGCTAACCTGAAGAGAGGCATCCATAAGGCCAAAGCAGACTACAGGAGGAGGATTGAGGAACGCCTGGACAGTCACGACAGCAGGCAGGTGTGGCAGGGAGTCCAGCACCTCACCAACTACAGGGCCAACCGCAGAGCTGCTGATGGTGACAACGCTCTGGCAGAGGAGTTGAACCTCTTCTTTGCCCGCTTTGAGGTGACACCACAAGGGACAGCATCACCAAACCTCACAGTCCACAGCAGCTTAAACCTCACAGTGGAGGAGCATGAGGTGAGGCGCACGCTGCGGGCCGTCAACCCGAGGAAGGCTGCGGGACCTGATGGCGTCCCGGGACGTGTGCTGAGGGACTGTGCTGACGAGCTGGCTGGAGTCTTCACAAGGATTTTCAACCTGTCTCTGGAACACTCCACCGTACCAACCTGCCTAAAGTCCTCCACCATAGTCCCGCTGCCCAAAAAAAACCCACATTTCCAGCTACAACGACTACCGGCCAGTAGCACTCATGCCAGTGGTGATGAAGTGCTTTGAAAAACTGGTCCAGAGTCACATCATAGGAAGCTTGCCCCGAAACCTTGACCCCCACCAGTTTGCCTACAGAGCGAACCGATCCACGGAGGACGCCGTGGCCACAGCACTACATGCTGCACTGTCACACTGGAGCAGCAGGGGAGCTATGTGCGGATGCTCTTCGTGGATTACAGTTCTGCGTTCAACACCATCCTCCCACACAAACTGGTGGAAAAACTGGGCGACCTGGGGATTCCACATTCCACCTGCATGTGGATATATAGTTTCCTCTCGGGCCGCAGACAGAGGGTCAGAGTGGGCCGTCATACATCCACAGCGCTGAGCCTCAGTACCGGCTCCCCCCAGGGCTGTGTACTGAGCCCCCTGCTCCTACTCCCTCTACACACATGACTGTGCCGCCGTCCACCATAGCAACACCATTGTGAAGTTTGCTGATGACACCACAGTGGTGGGGCTCATCTCTGGGGGTGATGAGTCTGCCTACAGGGACGAGGTGGAGCGGCTGACAGCATACTGCAGGGGCAACAACCTGCTCCTTAACACCGCAAAGACCAAGGAGCTCATAATAGACTACAGGAGAAAGAAAACGGACACTCCACCACTAATCATCAGCGGGGACTGTGTGGAGAGGGTGGCAGACTTCTGCTTCCTGGGAGTCCACATTGGGGAGGGCCTGACCTGGAGCGCCAACAGCACTTCTTCTTCCTAGCGTTGTTCCCGCTGTGGCGCAGGGTCCGCTTTTCGGCATTGTCTTCTCCATTTGGCTCGGTCCAGGGCATCTTCAGGGGATGCGTTGACCGTCTTCATGTCTTCCTTTATTCGGTCCATCCATCGCTTCTTCGGACGTCCGCGTGGACGGCGGCCCTCTGGCTCAATACGCACGGCAGTCTTGGCCACTGATGACTCTTCACTTCGCATCACATGGCCGTACCACCGAAGCCTTGCCTCAAGCATCTTGTCCGCAATGGGGGCCACACCAAGTCGCTTCCGAACGTCTTCGTTCCTGACACAATCCCATCGAGTGAGCCCGAGGCTCCATCTGAGCATCCTCATCTCCATGGTGTGGAGAGCTTGTTCGTGTACAGTTGTGGCTGGCCAGCACTCGGATCCATAGAGTGCCACCGGTCGGACGATGGTCTTGTATATTTTTCCCTTCAGCCTATCCGGCATTTTCCGATCACAGAGGACTCCGGTGACTTGCCTCCATTTCATCCACGCCGCATTGACTCGTGACCTCACATCAGTCGTGATGCTACCATCTGAGCTGATGGTGGAGCCCAGGTACTTAAAGTCCGTCACTTTCTTCAGATCTTCTCCGTCAATACTGATGGTGCCGTCGGTTTGGGGGCCACACTCCATATACTCCGTCTTTTTGATGTTGAACCTCATCCCGTTTTCGTCCAAACGTTCCTTCCACAGGCGCGTTTGTCTTTCCACTTCTCCTCTCTCTTCATCTGAGAGGAGGACGTCATCCGCGTAGAGAATTGACCATGGGAGGGGCGTGTGCAGGTCGGCAGTGATCGTGTCCATGCACAGGATAAACAGGAGTGGTGACAGGGCCGATCCTTGGTGCACTCCAACGCTGATGGGAAATGGCGGTGATATGCCCACTGCACACCTGACTGCACTGGTGACGTTCTTGTATAGGAGTTGCACCCAATGCACGTAGGTTTCAGGGACTCCATGGGATCGAAGCGAGTGCCAGATGAGGTCGTGGGGGACCCTGTCAAATGCCTTTTCAAGGTCGAGGAACGACACGTGCACAGCTTTGTTCTTCTCTCTGTGCCTCTCCAGCAGGAGCCAACAGCACTGAGCTTCTGAAAAAGGCCCAGCAGAGACTTTACTTCCTGAGAATTCTCAGGAATAATAACATCACACAGAAACTGCTGGTGTCCTTCTACCGAGCCTCCATCGAGAGCATTCTTACATACTGCATCTGTGTATGGTACACCAGCTGCACAGTGGCTCAGAGGAAAGCGCTCCAGAGGGTCATCAACACAGCCCAAAAGATCGCCGGCTGCCATCTCCCCACACTGGAAGAACTACACAGTTCACGTTGCATCAAAAAAGCACAGAACATTATAAAGGACTCTTCTCACCCTGGACACTCACTGTTTGAGCTGTTGCCATCAGGCAGACGATTCAGATCAGTCAAAACAAGGACAAACAGATTCAAACAGAGCTTTTATCCTACAGCGATCACCACACTCAATAATGCTAATTAATTATTAAGTAATAGTGTCTACAATTGATTGTGAAATAGAGATGTGCAATGACAAATGTAACCTTATGTGGGTATGTGGGTATACTTGGGCTGTTTTTATATATAGTATAAATTGATTATCTTTCATTTAATTTTATTTTTATTTTCTTGTTTTATTTAATTTAAATTTATGAATGATGCCCTGACTGGCGAGCATTTTAAATTTCGTTGTACTGGTGACAATGACAATAAACGATCTATCTATCTATCAATGTTGCCTGATGATGCCAGTTGTAATTACTGTTTAAACGTCGTACTCAGATTGTAAATGTTGTGGATTTACTCTCCAACATACCAGTGTGCTGTACTAGTAACGACGTGACATCTTCTGTTTACGTGACAAACGTTACTAATTGACTGTGTCAGGTGGCGAAGGGTTTAGCAACACATTTATATTTACGTGCTCTAACCCAAAAAACGTAACTTTTGTCCTGGGAGCACCCACACTAATATTGCCCATTTTTGGGGAATAACCCTAATAGGAAGTTTACATTACATATATCCATAATAGAGATGTTTTGGGTTAGATTGCATGAAAATAATTGTGTGGTTAAACCATCAACCACCCGACAGACAATTAGTGATTTTACCGAAAGAACCAAGAATATGAATCCATGCAGTCACGAACGCTTAAAATCGAAAATGAGTAAGGTTTGTCACGTAAACAAGACATGCCAATTCGTTACTAGTTCAGCAGGCAGAGGGCCATCGGACTTCCTAATCTGTCTTCGGGATGCCCAAAAACCCATTCCACTCCTGCCCAATATTGCTGTCCTAGCTGCTACGCCCGAGGTACAGAGACAGTGCTCCAAGAATTTGAGCTACCAAGGAAGAGGTGTCATTGCCCTTCTGTGTGGACTTGCAGAAGAGTAATAGAGTATGCGAAACCAGAGTGTTGATGAGCTGTCTGGCATTAAGAGGCTTTATGTTAAATTGTCTCATGGTGTGCTTGGTTTATATTGTACAATATGGTTTTATTTATATATACGTGTGCTATGAAAGGCTCTTGATCTTATGTCCACCATACTCATCCATCAGACCCTCACACACCCTAAGCTACAAATTGTTCCCCTATGTGGCACCTGATTTACAGAGTTAAATAAGGTCTTTTACCACCCAAACCAAGCATCTCCGTGCTATTCTGCGATGTAAATCCTAAATAAAACGAGTCAAGTATATTGTTCAAGGGTAGATGTTGCTGGATCCAATTAGCCAGAGTACGTTCAAGGACCTTAGACAGAAAAAGAAGAATATAGTTAGAACAGAAATTACCAAGGAACTCCAGATCAAGGCTGAGCTTCTTATGAAGGAGAGTTACAGATGCCACCTTAACGGAAGAAGAAACAACACCCGTTCCGAGAGACTTGTTGAACAGATCGAACATAAATTGACCTATATCAGCGAAGTTCTCCTGAAGAAACATTACTGGACAAGGGCAATGGGGCAAAATGTGGGTCAAGATTCAGCGATCAGTGTAGATAATTCAAAAAGTAATATTGCATAGCTCAATTAATGCTCTACCCATATACTGTAAAACGGGGGAAGGAAGTAAAACTCAAGAGGAATATAGAACTAGTAAGAAAACCAAGAATGAATAGCGACTTCTTCATCAGTGAAATAGTGTAACATGAGTTGCATAAATACATCGAAAATGAGGAACTGAAATGGGAATCTGGTTTGGGTAATCGATTAATAGTATTTATGCCAGCTGCAATGAGGCCAGCGATATAGATTTCGATTATACAATAGCATGATTGTAGATGCAAAGCGATTGCTTAAACAGCAGCCAGTGAATAGTGAGGCCAGATTCCCTTGATGTCCATTCAGAATGACAAACGGCACTTTTTTTTTCCTTAGTTATAAAATATCTACTGGAAGAGGAGTTTAAATCCAGTTTCTTTTAATCAGGTTCCAGAATAAATTATTCAGGGAAATATAATTACTACACAGAGGACTGAGCACCACCAGCCTTCAGAACAACCTTATAGAGAGAAAAAAAGGATTAACAAAGAATGCATTCTTACCTTTCCAAGGTGCCAGATAAGACACCGTCATTAATAGTTATTTTCACATTCGCATTGTCACAAATTTTTTGGGCCAATGTTGTGTCACTGCAACAAAAATGGTCAATATTAGCTAAAATAATCAATAAATAACTAACTGAAGTAAAATTTTATACGTAAAAAAAACACCACTTACCTTCTGAAATAAGACAATATAATGTTTTCAGAGAAAGTGCATTGCACAAATTTCAGTTAGTCTGGCTGGTCCATTCGGATAATGAAAGCAGCCAGTGGTGACATTACTTAAAGTGAGTCCAACTTGGTCCTACGCTGAGGAGAGCTCACCTCAACGTGGAGTGCACTGCTGAAGCAAGGTTGGGCTGCACACAATTTCTGTACACATAATGGGAGTGCACCTGCAAAACCTACGTATGAAATAGTGAGCTGTGAGTTGAATTTGAAACATTGTATTCATGTGTTCTTGTGATATCTGGCCTTTCGTATCTGAGAAAATGTCATCATTTGAGATGGCGAGAGTTTTGGTGATACACAGAACATGTACGCGATCTAACCAAAAAACCTTAACTATGAAAAATAATAGTGGCGAAATCATGTGTTAAATTCACTTTATTTTGCATAACACGACCATATTATAACTATTACACTGATAAATTGGAATGCAGAATACGCCATGAAAACAATAATTGCAATGACAATTACGTGAATTTGCATTTTTCTAAAATGAAAAGTTGAGAGGTGTATTCCATGTTGCCTGCAACCTGACACTCAATTAGAACAAAGATATGTTTAAAACCTATTCATACTTTATTAACTTTTGAAATTCGTGTTTCAATTGAATAGTTCATAATTATCTATCGAAATACAATGGGTCACAGCAATACATTCCTATCCAGAGGATCGAAAAAAACCGCAAGTGGCCATCAGAGTAACAATTCATAGCATGTCTCTGAGAATGATTGGGACAAAAAAACCCATAAGAATGATATAATCAATTCTTACCAATTGAAGGTTCCACCATAATGACATCCATCGATCTCGAATTTCACTTTCACTTTGCTGTCACTCATTGTGTGGGCTGCTGTCACTGGGGGAAAAAGTGTAATGATGAACATCATGAGGCTTCCTTTGCATGTGTCAAAATATAGCAATATATTTTTTCGCATTTTGTCATACAACAAAACAGAAACCTTTTTACGAGGAATCATGTTTACATTAACCACAATACCTGCGGTCAGAATGCAAACAAAAAACACACTCTGATAATGTATGCATTGTCCTTGAAATTGATTGGTCCACACCACAGACAGACATTTGGTAGTAATTTAAAATGTCTCGATGCACAGGACAGTGCAGTCAAATAATGCCAGGTAACATCCCTTCCAGTGTAAAGAGCGTAGGAGTAATGCAATTTCCCATTTCATCCACTCTCAATAGGCACCTTAATATAATACCTTTTACAATGGGCCTGGTGGCAAACGATAAAGTAAACAATACATATTAATCGCATGTAAAAAAAGCAAGAGTTATCATAGACCAAGCTTATCCTAAATCATAAGTTATTTAATCAAATGCACGGATGTTATTTAGAAAAGTATCCATTATATCATGGGATAACTCAATCTAGTCATTGGCTTTCTCATACAATAAACATTTTCCTGCAATATAATCGACATATTTATAAAAAAAGGTTGGTTTGTAATTTTCCATTATTCCAACGTGAGTTAACTGTTGAATACTCCTATTAAGTTAAGTTCAAGCTCTCTCTCTCTCTCTCACTTTGATGTCAATTCTATATGCATTTCAGTTTGCCGTTCTTGCACCTATTAGAAATGAAGCTCGTTTAGCATCTTGCTAACACGGTTTCCATCAGAAATTCCAATTCCCTATCCTTCTGTTAATCACTGCACTTTATATCTTTCTTTGATACACCCATTTTGATGAGAGTTACATTTCAGAGCAATACTTGAGAGAGGGACTCAATGATGTCCTGTAAGCAATCTCATCAGATACGACTTCTTAACCCTGACAATCTTAAATTTGTAGCACAGAAATCCCTTTGTCCAAAAAAAGTACTCATTTGTCAACACCGTCAACCGCCATTTCCTAAGTTGATGATCATGTGGTACCACATCAAATGTCATAAGTCAAACAAAATCTAAGTTTCATTGTCATTGACGATATATTTTACATTATCCGAAATCTATTAAAATAAAAATAAAAACAGCAACATACTATATGCTAAAATAGTTGATATCAAATCGATGTTAAGGAAATAAGCCTATGCTTTGTCGGATTGGCATAACATTAGCACACGTCCAACTTTTGGGTATGTAACAGTTATTAATGTTTGGTTAAACATCACTTACAAATACAGAACCACTGCTTCACTTCCCAAGAGCAATAGCTTTGCTTTTAGTTACTTTGGACTGGCAGCAGTATTCTTATTATATGTTTGTCAGCTCATGGACATTGTTGATCTTGTGGGAGTGAAAGTAGAGGAAGATACAACTCTCCCTTTATTTGGAAAACTATTTAGAGGATAAAACATGTTCAGGTAATCAGTGTTTAGCATATTGGCCATTTTCTCTTCATCAGTTACAGGATCTGCGAGGAGGATTCCAAAGATACATTCCTTATTAACCTTTTGTGATTTGCCAAAGTTAAATAAACTGTTACATAGTTTGGCCTTATTGTGGTCTAAAATATTAGTCTTCTATTATTTGTGTAATTTGAGCTACAATTCAAACATGTATTTAAAGATTCTATTTCTATTTTTTTCTTGTAAGTTACACATATGTCATCATAACTGTAAGCGTTATAATAAGCATTTTAATTGTCTTATTTACTAGTTACAAGGTAGAGGATTAATAATTTTTTGATCAGAGATTATCAATACTTGGATCCATGTTATCTTGGAAACGTGAGCAATTAAACCATAAAAGTGGTGTATGCATGTATTCCTCAGGGAGAACGTCCTGAGGGTTAGGAGCTGTACCCATGGGATCCCCTATATTACAGCCACGTGATCACTCACCTCAGATATTTATATTTAGAATGAGGTCCTGCAGTCGAACAAAACATATCCACCACATCCATTTTATCGGGACATCTATGACAAAGAGCTTCATAGCTCATCGGATTCCTCTCAGACAAATACAGATTCTGATTTGCTCTTCTAGCTAAGGAAACTGCCTGAGAGAACACGTCTTAATTAATCAGCTGAGTAACATGTTCACCCCCCCCCCAGTATCGCGTCGTCTATTTATATTTAATCATTGCATGACCTGTGTGTTGTATCTCATACATTTTTGAAGAATCACGATCAGGTGCACATTTACATGGGCCAACTTAAGTACTAATTTTGTATAATGCTTGTTAAATTAATATCACAAATTTCATAAATACCATCAGACCACATAAGCCTGCTGAGAAGATGAGCATGGGCAGCCACATCCCATTATTGGTCACAGCAGACCTCTATACATGTTTAACTCAACAATGTTTGCATATCACCACTTCGTTATTAAAATGCAACAATTAAGTTGACAGAACACGATCCCAAACTTACCTTCCCAGATAAAACCAGTCATAGTGAGACATATGTAGCCCCATATAGCCCCTTTATGTTCCTATGGAATTTAATGAAAAATCCCTCTTCTTAAAAAAACATATTTCTATAATCGCCTCACATGACCATAATTTTGCGTAAGATCTGGGAGTTGGAAGAAAGCATACAAACTTGATGCCGTTCGCATCAAGTTTGTATGCTTCATTCCTACTCCCTGATCTTCTCCTCGTGCTTTTAGTCCATGTCGTTCAGTGACTGAAAGCACGAGGAGAAGTTCAGGGAGTTGGAAGAAAGCATACAAACTTGATACCAAAGGCAGAATAAGTATAACCCGTAAAAACAAAGTTTTTCACTCTAAATCCTTTATATGCGTGGCGGCTAGAGTCCTCTCGTCCTCTGGCTTGAGATGGCTGCCACCTATGGGTCAGATGATTGTCTGCAGTATTAAACAATTGGTAATTAAATATTTAATTTGTTTTCCCTAAACAGTGTAAAATTTTGGGTTTTTTTCACGAACATTAATTGTCTCGCACAACGAGTCTGTGTGCAAAATGTCAGCTCGATTGGATCACGGGAAGTGGGTTAAAAAACGACCGAAAGGTTTGCACGGTCGTAAGCAAGCAAGCAAGCACGCAAGCAAGCAAGCAAGCGAACTTAATATAAAGGATTTTAAAAAATAGCTGAAGCCCGATGGCCTCCCTGAGGGACTCAAAGACAACATTCCTCACAGTGCCCTCTCCTGCATCAGGAAACCCCTACCTCTCACTCTCTGTAACTATGACACCTCAGACAAACTCCCTCAATAGTACAGGCGTACAGAATTAGCAGGAGGAAATACCATGCAGATATGGAAACCAACATCAAATCAAGACCCCACCTGAGCCAGATGAGTTGAGGCATTGAAATTAACAAAACTTAAAGAAAAATGCACCCTTATCAAAGGAAATCTGATCTTAAACCGGACCTCATGCCAATGGACTCCAAGAGAAGGAACCTGCTACTGCATAAGAGGTGTTTTGGTTAGATCGCGAACATATGAATGTCATTAAACTTGCCACCACCCGACACAACCAATTAGTAAGGTTTGTCATGTTCACAAACATGCCAATTCGTTACTAGCACAGCACACCGGTGTGTTGGAGAGTAAACCCACAACATCTACAATTAGAGTACGACGTTTCGCTGGTAATGACAACCAGCATCATTAGCCGATAGCAAGAGCTGTGGATAAATCTGAGATTATGACACAGACACCGGATTAGACACAGAATCACTCATAGAGAGACAAAAACGCAAACACAAAGAGGTACAAAGAAGGATAGAAAGACACAAGTACATGCACGCAGACAGAGAAATACGAATAGACCAAAGCAGACAGTGCTAGACATGGACAGGTGCAACACTAATTAAAATGTATTCTGGTATCATCTAGAATAACTTGTGAATAATGAACTTCAGAGAGACATAGCAGCGTGAATTTGGTCATGAATTGAACAACGTCCTAACAATAATAATTTTTTATTTATTTGAGATCTTTTCGTATCTAGGATTTTGTCAAAGCGCTTTACAAGAATTATACATTCGTGATTGGGTGACGAGTAAAGGGGGGTGGGGTTTTAGTGTTGGGGAGGGGAAGGGATGGTAAGGGAGGGTGATGGTAGGGAAAGAGATGGGGTGAGGTTAGGAAGGAGAAGGGGGAGGATGGTAAGGGAAGGTGATGGTAGGGAAAGGGAGAGGGTAAGGTTTGGGGAGGGAAGGGGGGATGCTAAGGGAAGGTGATGGTAGGGATAGGGGTGAGGTTAGGAAGGGCAAGGAGGGTTTAGATTTTAAGAATTCGGGCAGGAAGTATTAGAGGGAATCGCTATTTTAAAAATATAGAATTGAAATATATTACGACTGAAGAATGCACTCTTCGGGCTGCATTTTTGTGGAAAAGATAGAACCCCTTCTTCAAAAAATATACTGACATACAGAAAGACAAAAGCACAGAGGCGCAAATGTAGAAATGTGAACACAAAGACGCAGAGTGAAGAGGAGACAAATATTTGAAACACAACCAGAGAATAGGAGATGCAGATACACAAAGACAGCAGGGGACACACAGGGACATTAGGAGACAGATAGAAACACAGGCATGTTATATACAAAGAGACACACAAAAACAAAAGGATACAGAGATTCAGCATCAATAGGATACACGGATGGAATAGAAGACACAGTCTGACGCAGTGGCAATAATATACAGAGATACAATCGGAGATACAGAGGCAACAGGTGACAGATACTGAGAAGTAACAGAAAAAACAGAGGCAATATGAAATACTGAGGTGCACATATTATTGTATTCCGAGACAGATACAATAGAAAACACATCGAAATACAAAAGATACGAACAAGAGAGACAGACATAATAGGAGGCAGATAGATTAAAGGAGATGCTGTTTGACAATATGAAGCACAGTGATACACATAAAGACAATAAGACGCAATGTTTTCAATTAATATGGATGCTTTTTCTTTAAATATAGACGCAACGTAAGTTTCTCTTTAATAACACTCGCCTATTTTTTTTTAAATGTATGTAGTTAAATCGAAAGTACATTATGGATATCTGGATAAGTATATATTGAGATCAATTAGAGCAGTGTTTATAATGCGTCTTCACTGACTCCACTACACGCACTGCTCACTAGATGGCTCTAGAGACTCGTCAAATGCGTTACCTCTACACGGCACAGACTTCATCCTCTCCAGCAGCCGAGGCACTTGCGATACTATTTTCAAACTTGGACGAGTGGATGCTACAACAAATGTAATGAACATAAAAGTACCTTGAAATATTTCCCAATGGCACTGTGTTTACGAAACTAGGTTGCATGTGACAGCAGTAAGTTACGGACAATTTGTTGTTAATATCCAGGCCATAGCCTGCACGGCAACAGCAACCCTAATATCATTATCAACGGAAATATCATCATCAATACCGTATAACACGTAGGCTTTCGTGACCAATATCATCCATAACAGAGTTTTTTTGGGACAGCTGTTGCCTGATGAAGTTAGTTGTAATTACTGGTGAAACGTCGTACTCAGATTGTAAATGTTGTGGCTTGGCTCTCCAACACACCGGCGTGCTTTACTCGTAACGAATTATATTCTTGGTTCTTTCGGTAAAGTCACGTAGAAGGCAAATAATAAAATAATACCAATACAACATAATAAGATAAAATATCATAACGAATTGGCATGTTCTTACAAGTTGTCTGTGTCGGGTGGTGGCGGATATTAACGACACATTTATATATTTACGTGGTCTAACCCGAAAAAAACCCTCCATTATGGATCAATACCATATCATACAATTAAGCCTATATCCTCAGAAAATCTTACGTTACTATAATTAACACAATGTATATTATCCTCATCAACATTAACGTCAAGATTTTCATAATTTCTATCGGCATGAACATTAACAGCATCATAATATTATATTATTTTATTATGTTTTATTATTTATTATTTTATTACTTCCCTTCTACGTGACTTTACCGAAAGAACCAAGAAGATTAACAGCATCATAATCAACAACAGCAACATTTATGAGGTCATTTAAAAACAAATAATATCTTCACATGCAAAATAATAATCAAAGTTCATCATTAGCAAAACACATTCCATTGTAAAATCTTCAATTTAAACGATCCAAATAATACATAGTGCTAATAATACATTTCATAAGTAGACACACATTTTAACGAGGTTATGTATACCAGAAAGTTTAAAACTGCATTGCCACTGTCTTACATTTGAAGACTACTACAGTGTGACAAAGACATGTAAACAACTTAATGATTGTGCCCAGTTTGGTTGTTAAGGATGCTTTACTCTGGGGCTAGATTGGTTCAAGTCACATCGTTCACCTTTAAGAAAAATTATAACTATAACCTAACAATAACGATATTCGACAACTTCGTTACCTCATTAGGTACACTAACACAACACAAGTTACACTAATCAGCAGCCCGTAAAGATAATTTAATGAAATATAAGCTTAGCCGTTCAAAAATATACTATAGAGCTACTTGTGGCTGCATAATATACCGGCTTTATATATATAGACAGTATGATTCCAGACAATAATAATAGTTCACATGTACACCAGTACACACTTGCACAAATGTATCTGCCTATTAACTCCACATTTCAATGCTTCCGACAGGCGATACGTTCACACACACGAACATCGTGATATAAAGTCGACTGAAAACATGATTCGGGGTCATTATAACCATTACCAAATGTGTTTGAGAAACCTAACTTTGACATTCTCATTACAAAGTCAAGCCTGCAAATCCATAATGCTCGCAGCATACATACATAATCTGGTAAAAATAAAAACAGAACAAAATATAATGCATACGACGTAGTCATACTTTCTGAACATACATGTAATACATTGTGTTGCAACACAGAGCATCAATCCGTTAAAGTAATCGCACTTATATAGTAGATGTCAATGTCATTTTGTAACGTACCTGATTCAAGTTCGAAGTATTGTAAAGCTGTTGGGTCTATGAAGTAGGTATAGTTCAAGTGGTGGCGTTTTGCACTGTTATCCGATAGGATAACGTAATGTGGAGTTTGGCCAATCACAGTAAAACGTTCTATGTGGGTGCGGCTATGACGAGAACACGGTAAAAAAATGAAACAATACACTGTCAAAAGATCTACAAAGCTCACATCACTTGCCACAACAGTCTGTTAAGGAATTGTATTTGTGTAATGATGTACACTGTTATCTTGGAGTGCCAAAAAGGTAAGTTGCTAGCTAAAAAAAGGACTACTACACAATCAAAGTTCAATGTATTGATGTTATACCTTTGAACTCCTTATCAGTGCCTACCTTATTACAGACCAATTCAGGCCTTATTGGTTACCGCTTTAATATGGAGCAACTTTCCTTGTTTGGTGCTCAAAGATAACAATGCACATCGTTACATGTAAAAAGCCACGCTCCAGCTACACAAGCATATTTCAGGAATCCATCTCCGCTGTGAATGCTATCTCATGCACTTTCATTAAGTTCGTGGCCAATTAATCTCTATCCTTGAGCAAGGCTCGTCTGTTCTAGCAATATAGTGCCCTACCCAAAGCTGGCTCATATTTGTAAGCACTGCCGTAGGTATGGGCACTTTGCTGTGTTCATGACAACCACCTCAGTGCCTTCAGTTGTGACCGTGGCTTATAGAAACCATTGCATAACTGTATTGGGTGAAAAGGGCATTGGAGGGAATTAATCAAGATACATCAACAAAAATATAGAGTAGAGGAAATTGAAACCTTGGAGAAAAAAAATTGGGAGACCCAAGTCCCTTATCAACGCAGAGGACATATGGTGATATCCTACAGATCAAAAAGATGACCATCGGGGAGATGGAGCCAAATTGGCAGTGCCTGGTGCCGCAGTAGCCAAAGGGATCGCATCAACAAGGACAGTCGGCTCCGTGCTGTTGTGATTCACACAAATCAGTTGCCTGCCTATGAATAACCTTGAGCCACCACGTAGAGTCAACAAGTGACGCACTCAGATAGATAGGGATGCGTTTTCTTTAATGCCTGGAACATGATAGGGAATCTGCTGAATGCATTGTTTTACCAAGACTGTAAATCTATGCAAAGAGCTGTGATCACGTAGGAATGTCTTTTTTTATAGCCGACAACTTGCCTTGTTTGGCACACGGCATACTTTACAACAGCAGCCATTCACAACTACGTGGCGGTCTCGTCACCACGGCGCTTGTCTTTCGTTTAGTGCACTTGAGCCCACGTGAAGTGTTAAAGAATGGCAGGTCACGGGGACAGACCGAGATGCTATGGGTTGAAGGAATGAGACGAGTGGCAGTTGCACCAGCTGTGCCAACCTGCTCCATTGAAATGTCTAGTGCTTCACTCGTTGTGAGCGTTGCTCCTCTGCTGTGTTTGGAGGGCGACTATCTGCACTGCACAGTAAGCGGTCCTTCACGAGCCTCCACCATAGAGGCCAATCTTGACACCCCTGCTACTAGTCTTTTGGCCAGTCCACGTAACTTTACAATATCCTGCACTCCATCAGCCCATCTCTTCGCTAGCCCGTGCTGCACATGGTTAGCACCTCAATTCGGTCAAACAGAAGTGGCTGGGCAGGTGGTTTACATGGTCCAGCCAATGCAGCCTCGGATTTTAGCTCCTCACAATACAACCATTTGTTTTGCAGTTTTGTGACTGAGTGGAGGACTATTTGCCTATATGATGGTGAATGGGCCCAGTGAAAGCCCATCACATATCCGATATTCGAGATCCAGACAGCGGTATTGGTCCACAGGAATTGCAGACTCTCATTTCATGTGGCCAACCCACAAAAGTTTAATGTTTCTTGGAGCAATGGGGTCAAAAGGACAACCGTCGGGTAGAGACGGTGCGACGATGTGATTTCATATGCAAGAGCGCGATGGACCGTGGTGTCATGGGAGTGCCGTGGATGGCAGCGACTGAGCAGCTGCGTGCAGTTGTTACCCACGCAAATGAGTTTCATCCATGAAATGACAGTCATTCTTACAAATGACTAATGTTATTTCTTCTCAGTAACGTTCATTTTGGCCTTGCTCGCTTTGCCATGTACTACCTCGTTAGTATTAAACCAAAAACGATTACAGCAACAGCTACAAAAAAACGGTAACTCCAGGACCTGTTCAAATAATCGTAACTGGTGCTAGCCATGAGTGGGAATCGAACCTGCATCTATGGGTTTCAAGCGCATAGTCCAAACATCTACAACATCCGCCATTCGCCACCACGTGCTTATGCCAAGCTATGTGCACGTTAAGGCCACGTGAAGTGTCACAAGCCCACTGGCAAGAGGTCACGGGACAGACCCAGGTGCCATGGGTCGACTGAGATAACCGGATGATGTTTCAACTGTGCCCCCTGCTGTTCTAACTTGCTGTGTTTTATCCACCTGGCACTCCGTTTGTTGTGTGTCGCTTCTCTGCCCTCCGCTATTGCTGGTGGGCAACTGCCTCGAACTGTCCAGTAGAATTCCTTCTCTCGCCTCTTTTACAGAGTCTGATGTTTACACTGCTGGTACCAGTCATCAGCAAGTCCAATCAACCCCACATCCTCTTGTACCACATCATTCCGTATCTTCTCTAGCCCTTGCAGCGCCTGTCTATTCGCTTATATCCGGCCGAACAAAAGCTAAATTTCGATTTAAAGCTTTCGTGACGAAGACGAACAAAAGCTGTTAAGGCATGTGGTGATTGGGCATGCGGGCTACATGACCCAGCCAATGCAGCCTTGCCTGCTGGCAGAGCTCACTGATGAGACTTTGTCCAGATCTTTCAAGGATTCGTGATCTCCTTACAAAATCCAGACTGGCTAAATCTAGGTTAGATTATAGACAGGCCAGCCTAAATTATTTTGACTGGCAAATATATTTGGAGGTCCACGTTTCACAATCATAGAGAAGGGATGGCATGACTATGGCCAAGAAGATCTGAAGCTCCGTGTGGACCGACAGACCAGGTAGCTTTCAAAGAGCATTTCGCAGCTAACGAAAAGATGATGCTCTTCGACTGATTCGGAGTGAGACCTCTGCTGTCAAACCGGAGCCTGTCATGATCGTACTATCCAGGTATGGAAAACTCTCCACTCGCTCCGCAACTGCTCCATCACCTATTTGGGAGTCATGGGGGTGAAATGTCTGATGGCATAACATTCCAAAGCAGGTGCATAGTTGTGGTGGGATTGAATGTAAGGTACACTCCAGGTTCAGCAATAGCACTCCTAACTTATCCTCTGAGTGAACAGCAATCACCAGATCGTCAGCATATGTAACATGGTTGACCAATAGGGTGCCATCCCTTAGCCACACCCATGCATCGATCAGCCTCCCATTGTATCTGAACCAGATGGAAATCCCTACTGTACAACCATCGAAAGCTTCACAAACTACGTGGTCTAAAAATATGTTAAATAATGTGGGAGTCAGAGGACAACCCTATCACACCACAAGGTTAACAGGGAATGACTCCTACTAGCCTGTCCACCATCACGAAGGTCCTTACTTATTGAGAGCAGAGAGTCAGGGACAACAACCCAGAGCCCAGGCCTACTAATGGTATCATAGGCCTTGACCAGGACAATTATGCAGAGATTAGGTCCGGTTGGAATTCCCTTCACCTCTGCTGTAGCAGACGGACAGAAAATACGGCATCTGTGCAAGACCACCCTTTCCTAAATCCACATTGGATCTCTGCAAGCCTCTCCTCAGCTTGCGTGGCAAGGCGATGTTGAATTATCCTTGCAGGACCTTTCCCGACACTCTAAGGAGGAAGATGCCCTTGTAGTTGTCACAATCTGTGCTGTCCCCTTTCTTAAAGAGGGAGACCACCAGGACATCCTACCAACCCTGCGGAACCCGTCCAGTGGTCTAGACTGTTATTATGATGTCTTATAGGGCAGTCTGCGTGTAAACACTACCCTCCCTTAGAATTTCGGTTGGGAGATTATCTCTGCCCAGTGCGTTTCTTGGTCTGAGACTCAAAAAATTGCACTTCAGGCAGCCAATCACACGGGGTCCCAACTGCTTACAATATTTGAGGCACTGCAGCCTCGGCAGGGTCATCCCCACTTTTTCCCATGATGTTTTCCAGGCTGAAGAATTTCTCCTCCCCGAAGACCTCACAAAAATGATTAAAAAAATCTGCAAACCGGTTTCTGGAGGTCAGAGATCGGATCACTTTACTTTCCTCTATTTACTGTGATAGGTGTGGTGCTGCGAGTTACATTTTTGATAGAGTTAAAGAGTGATTTGTTATCGCGGTCAACCGAGGCAGACTCCATCTGCTCAGCAACCCACGACTACCACCCATTCTTGCAGCACTGCACGGCTGTCCGAACCTCTGACCGAAGGCTGTGGCAAGCCTCCACATTCTCTGACGTGGGATGCTGTCGACCGTGAGACTGGGCCTGTCACTTTTTATCAGCTAGCCAGAAACACTTCGCCTGTCAGGCAGGGTCTCAGGGGAGGTTTGGACTGTGCACCAAAAGCAGCCATTGCAGCTGCATGAGCCACAGTCCTAAACCTTGAAAATTTCCCCCTCAGCATTAGACGCAGTGAAGGACGATACCAACCCCAGCTGCAAGTGATGATGAAATTATCGCTTGCAACATTCATCAGCTAGCTCACACCAGGCCACTGTGGGTTTGAATGGGGTCCTGGATGTACACCCACAACCGGAGTAGAATAATGGAAAGTGTATCTGAGAGATGACAAGTCGATGGTCAGTGGGCAGATCAGCTCCACGTTAGGTCCTGGTGTCAAGGACATGGGCCCGCATCCGCTGTTCTGTCACTACATCAGGAGGTTTCTGCTCAGGGCAAGTGCGGCTCATGGCTGCCCCTCCACCTTAAGCTTACCCCAACGCTGCCATTCAGCTCCTGGCCACAAGACAAGCAGCCCCTGTGCGCTCAGAGGAAGGGCTGTCCTACCATACAGGGGAAGAGGACGCTGAAGAAGAGATGGACACGTGCCGGGGGTGGCTCCGTCGACACCACCAGGCCTGGTCGTCGGCCGCGCGACAAGGTTCCGGGGGAGTTACTAGTGGAGAGTAGCAATGATAGCGCACGAGGGCTTGGCAGAGGTGGGGGCTACTGTGGCCCGTCAAAGTCTCTGGTGGCGCCACCCTCCCCAATTCCCCCACCCTGCTCAAGT